CCTTGTTACTATGGTTTTTGTCCGCTCTGCACAGTCGCTAAGAAATGATGAAACCAGATTACAAAGGGTACGCTGCTGAATTTAAAGAAGCGTTCTGATGTTAAATAGATTAAACAGCGCTACAGACGGAACGCTTCTTTAAATTCAGCAGCGTACCCTTTGTAATCTGGTTTCAATCATTTCTTAGCGACTGTGCAGAGTGGACAAAAACCATAGTAACAAGGGCGTCCTCGAACAAACTTGATTCTAATGGATGCAAATGGTTCACAAGACTTCTGGGAGGAACTCTATACGCTACAGTATTATGAACCGCTCGCAAGCAAAGCGATGGCTTCGCAAGAAAGTGTAATAGAACTTTTCGGAATTCACGAGATGATACAAGTTGCAATCAAATTCGAATCCCATTTGTAATCCTATATGTGACTTCGCATAATATAATTATAACGATCGGCTGCTCTAAGAATCGTCGATACATATGTACATGGAATGGAAGAAAGAACTAAGACAAGCTGTACATTACCTATCTAAGGAACACACAAATTGCGATTCCGTGGTGGGGTTGCTCATTTATCCACACGGACAGCGGCCACTGCAATAGTTAACAATGTGCTTTGTTCGATTACCATAAACAAGTTCTTATTGTTTATTTGTGTCTTTACAGCTACATCGGTTTTCCCTTCCATATCTTGTTACCCCTCATTTTCTCCCGCCCTTATACCGTCGAACCCAGGATTGTGGCTGAATAAATCAGTTATCCTCAACAGGTAGAGCTAAGGAGCACTCGTGCTTGGTCCCGTCACTATTGAAGGGAAGCGAAGCGCACCATGTGGTCCTACTACGAAGGATACCATGGTCTCATTCCCAACGTTTGTCTTCTGCCTGATCGTCAAAAACAAGTCATCCATAACTTCTTGCAATGCGTGTCAACCGCTGTCATTGTCGTCCCATTTCGTAAGAAATGCGACTCTGTTTCAATTTGTATTTGTCTATATCGCATACTCATGCTAACACTCACAGCAATGGTCGTCCTTCATGTCCTCATATGGTCGTATGTGCGTTTATTGTTGCGTTTATTTGTTCGACTTGTAATCATTGAATATTTTGTTCAAGGTTACTTATACAATTCTTTAGGAAAAAGGGAATTATAAAAGAATTTAGTTGGCATCTTTGTTTTAGATATGAAGAGCACACTATCTCTATAAGCTAATGAATATATCGAACGGGTGAATATATGTACATCGTAGTGTTCTTCAGGGAAAGGTCTACCATACAACATGCATAATCCTTACGCTTCATCGTTAGTTCTCCCTCGCTTTTTTTCGGCACAGTTTCCTCTGACGATGAGTGTGACCCTCGCATGGTCAGATAAGAGTGTCACAGGTGACACGCGCCGAAGTGCTATGTACCACAATGTGACGACATGGCCAGCCACAACGGGGCCCTCCCTGGTCCAGTTGTGCTGCGATTAAAGCTCCAATTAAATTTATGCGCAGTTCTCAGTCGGCATAATTAGAAGGAGTAGTAGGTATAGTAGTTTAGAAAGACTGTTGTGTTGCAAAAAATGGTTGTGAAAATTCATGCCAAAAAAATTTCTGTGGACAGAAACTTCTTAGAAACATATTTATCGTGAAATTAGAAAATTGATATTGTGGCTGCGCCGAATGGGAAATGTTAGAGAAACCTCCCTTATCCATTATCATCCATTATCCATCTCCCGTTCTCACAAGAAAACGGAATGTAAGATGCAGATGACTAGATGTGGAATGGGGACTAGATGTGGAATGTGAATGTTTTCGGGTATACATCGCAAGGCATTACCTGTTGTACGTACTTACTTGAACGGAGGCGAAAAATATAGATCAGATAGACTGCGTGAGAAATATTGAAAGGGGATGCAAACGCAGAGTGTGTACCCACTTGGCATCAGAACTTAATGGATACCTGACAGGAGGCCCATCGCGCTCAGAGAGTAACACGGGTCAGCGGATAAGTCGCGGCGTGTGCGGTAGCGAGAA